CACACACACACACACACACACACACACACACACACACACACACACACACACACACACACACACACACACAGTTCCCTGGAGAGGTTACTGCCCAGTACTGTTTACCCAGACTCCTTGCCAGTTTCTCTGCTGAGCACAGTGTCAACCTCCTGTATGTTTAACCCTGTATAAGAAAAAAAAAAGAAAAACGGTGACAGGGGGCGAGAGAGAGTCTAAACGGGGCCTCTGTGAATCAGCCTCCATGCTAACCACCACGCTGTGCGTCATGTCACACCTGGAAGGTCACGCACAGCGGGGAGTGAGGTTCAGGAAGAAAGCATGAAGACGCAGCTTCAGAATTAAGAGTAACATGACAATACAATTTCATAAATGCTCAACAGAATATTCTAATGGCTGCACTGAGCTGATTGTTAGATTACTGCTGCCTCTAAAGCATTAGCTGTGCTTTAGCAGACAGCCTTTAGCCTGCTTTATTGGATTTATCAGCATGGCTGGAACGGCTAATGCTGAAACTTCACTTTGAATAATACACTGGTAAATTGCATTTGAAACAGTTTGTTCCAATAATGTGGCAGGGGCAGGCTGAGACAATCTTCAATTGGGGATAGGGGTTGTGTGTAAGGGTGGTGCAGACTGGGGCACAGTTTTAGAGGAGGTGGGCATGTTTGTAAAATTAGTTAAAATATGCTCACTTAGAAACTCTTGACCATAGTAAAAGCTGGATTCTGTATTCATTAGTGCAATGAATGGATGCCTACAGAGCCCCTTTGGGGACATGGGCAAAAAAAAAAAAGATAAAAGTTTCTGGTGCGCACAAGAGAGGATTCTCTTTCTCACCACAAGGTGCACGTGATATCTGTCGGACCACAGAGGATTTCGCCCTTGCTACATTTCTGTGTGGAAATGACTGTACAAGAGTTAGTTGACTGTGGTAAAGTTGGAAAATAATGAATAAACGAAACGTCCTTAAAACCTTGAATGCATGTAATGCTTTTGCTAGTCCGCACCAGAAACTTTCTCGTGCACACCAGAAACGTCTTCTTTTTTGCATGTCCATGCCCGTTTTTTGCACATTATTCAAATTTTACATTTTTTTCGGTCATTCTGCCTCTCCATGTGGTGATTTTATGTCCCCTTGAGTTCGTTTGCATCTCTTTGTGGTCGTTCTGCATCTCCTCAGGATCATTTTACTCCATTTTACGTCTCCATGTGGCCATTTGACATCTCCTTGTAGTTGTTTTGCATCATTGTGGTTGTTTTGCATCCCCTCTCGACTGTTTTGTGTATCCTTGTGTTGTTGTTTTGTGTTCCCCTGTTTCAATTTAGCAAGACAGAATAACAACTTGATAATTTTTCTTTTTTTTTTTTTTAAATATCACTAAATTCTACACACTGTACCTTTACATGAGTAATTTTGGTGCATTTTCCTTGTATTGGCTCCAGCTACATTCTCAGTCCTGAGAAGCCACAAACAATTTGGCATGAGGACTGAGGTCATGTTCAGACTTCTGCAGATAAACTTTCAAACACTGTCTTAGGTTTGACCTTGCTGTTGTTCTTGTGCTTTTGTGTTCACAGAGAAAATTATGTGAATTCGCTGGTGAGGATCTAAATCCTTACAGAAATAATTTGTGAGCCTGTTTCATTGTAAGATGGACCAGGGGGTAAGAGAGGGGGTCACAGAGAGCAGTGTCATTCAGACCTGCGTGAATGTGACATGGCAAATGGAGGTGTGACTGCACCCCACATGGTCGCCCTCACTTGCTTTGTTAATGTACGTAGTTAGAGATTCCTCTTTTAGGGACAAGGTTCTTCTTACCTCTGGGTGAGAGGCTGTTGACCTGCCAGCGTCCTGCGGCTTCCCAGAGCTGATAAGTAGGGCATGAGAAACATAGCAACCCAAAGTGACAGTTGGGCACAACGCAATATAACCCAGCCCTAACCTAGACCATCATGCAACAGTGGAACACAACATAAATATACTGCAACACAACATGAAGTTACACAGACGGAGCAGGAACATCAGGAAAGCACATCAGCGCTGAGTCATACCAGTCATTAATGAAAGTGGTGGAAGCTGCAATTGGTGTCAAGTGCTGTTTACTTGCTATTTCTACATGAAGTGACATTTTCAGGGAACAAGTTAAAGAGTGAACACACATCACTGTGGCATTTGAGGTAATTGGCAACACGGGCCCTGTGTACTGAATGTCTTTGTTTTCTTCTTCACTGCAGGGTATTGTATCTCAAAGACTTACGCAAAGTCTACTTTTTAAGGAGCAGTTAAAATTAAACTTTGATTAATCACTTGGAGAAAATCAAAGTCTCAGCAGAGCCCTCGTTGCTGCCGAGTCTTTGAGAGACACTCAAACGTGTGCTGTTAATGGTCAGCTCACAGACACGTTTGTGACTGAAGTGATTATTTTGCCAAAATTAGTCAGAGGTGACTGAGTTTTGGAAAAACCCTCAAAGTCAAGTGAATGACCTCATTATTAAATTTAGATTTTGATTGAATTTTGTGTAACTTGATTAAAGCTGCAGCTTGAAGTATATCACACTGTATATCACACTGTTTATCACTAAATGGACAAAATACTTGTGGCCCAGTCCATTATTTTTTATTACTTGTGTGAAAAATAAAATCATCATCAAACCCCAAAATGATTGAATTTACTATTATGGGGGGAAAAATGAAATCTTGAAATTTGACAAGCTGGTACCAGACCAGTGTTAGACCTTTTCTGATCTATTGTGTAATTTTGTCTAATTGATTAATCACCACACTTTCTTCCTGAGCTTGCAATACCATTCATCCAAATATCTCCACCTGGACCTCAGGTTATGTTATATGAGATTGAGCATTCAAATCCTTC